TAAGGTTGTTTTAAGGACATGCTCTATGCTAGCCATTCTAAAGCTGCCAGGGGTTGATTCTAAATGAGCCAAAAAGCAGAGACAGGACCAATTGTCAAACTTTTGGTGTCGATCATTCGATTTCATCCTGGACACTACAGAAAATGGGCTTAAAGTGTAAAAAACCGAACTTCTCCTTTAAGCAGTGGCGGTTCTAGACCAAATGTACCAGGGGGGGCGGGAGGGGGCCAGCGTGTTTCCATGGGGGCACAGAAAAGCATGAAATTAAAAAAAACAGGCCAAGGGATTCAAATAAATTAAGATAGCTGCATGAAGTCATTTCTATTCAATTAGGTTTCATTAAAATTCTAAATGTCTTAATAGGTCGATATACATTCAGAATTTAGGAATTTTACTTTTTTTTTTTTACTTAATTTAAGTTGAAATTACAGTTTCCTATAAAATCTGAATTAGAATTTAAGAAAAACTGTTAAAATTAGCTTTAAAAAGTTTTGGGAAAAAACATTTAGCAGATGAAAACTGGGATCCTATCTCAATACCACTTATATGTTTTTAAACAGTTAATAAAACAGAATTTGTAATGAAAAAAATAAAATAGATCAACCTATTCTCATTATGCGTGTGTATGAAATCATACGAAAAGTTATGCACCGTAATTTAGTAAGTTTTGGACGTTTTTTTCGTCGTATGCGCATGCGCATCTGACGCACCATTCACGAATATAGAATATAAATTGCAATTAGCCCTAACCCTGACCCTAACCCTAAGATATAAAACAGCAAGCAACGTAGTTAGAGACATGAATAAGTGATGATTGCACTGTTTATCCCAGTTTTACGTCCGTCTATGGATCTGTTTTTTTTTTTTCTGTCTGCCAGTGCATGTTAACTGATCTGGTTTTTTGAGGAAAAACGTCCAAAATGTACGAAATAGTGTGCATAACTTTTCGTACGATTTCATACGCACTGATAATGAGAATATGTTGAATAGATCCAAAGGATCTATTAGTAACCATGTCTGTTTCAGCGCATATCAACATTAGAATTTCTCTGAGTATTATGTTTTCATTACAGGGGCCATAACAGGGGCCAGGACTTGATCTACAGGGGCCCTGGCCCCCGTTGGCCACTGTCTAGAACCACCCATGCATTTAAGCATGGGCATAGGTTTGCATAGGGACATGTCCCTACCAACATTTTGGCACCGACCTACTTGTCCCTACCAGTAATTCTATTTGAATAACATGTTTATAGTTTACAATACAGTGTGGTTGCAGCAGTCGCTTCTTTTCTCACAACTTGTATATTGAAGTTAATATTTAAAATGATTAGTGTCACTTCCTCTTATAATTCCCGCACCCATGTAAATAAAAATAAATCTATTTGCAGTCCCTTGAATATCTTATTTTGCTTTGTTTTTTCAATTCAAAGAATATCAGCATATCAGATAAAAATAATAAGCGTGGGTTTTACCTTTGTTTGCCGCTGCACAATTCTATTTCTTCAAAAGCAAACATCGGATAAATACACATACAACAGACATATTTAGACTATATTTGGTTAAAAAGGCACGTATTTACCTTCACTGGTAAGTTCAAATGTAAAAGTGTTGAGTTGTCCCAATTTTAAATTATTCTGAGCCACTGATGCTTCTAACATCGATAAACAGCATCTTGTGTGTAGTGCTTATAAAATTTGTATAAATGTAGTAAAAAAAAATCCTGTTTTCTCTCTAAATGAAACGTGCCCTGATGCTCACGTCAAGCATTAAAAAAAAAATAGGAGCATGCATAATGTGTCAGTGTATTCTCATTATCAGTTCGTACGACATTGTACGAAAAGTTATGCACAGTATTTCGTACGTTTTTGACGTTTTTTTCGTCGTATTTTTTACGTCTTGCCTCGAGACAAGATATCCTTGCGCATGCACATCTTACGCACCATTCAATAACATAGAATTTAACATACAATTAACCCTAACCCTAAGATACAAAACAGCAAGCAACCTAGTGAGAGACATCATGAAGTAATTATTGCACTGTCCGTCCCAGTTTTACGTCCGTCCGCGGATCTGCTTTTTTCATCTGTCTGGCTGCGCACTGACCTGTATTTTCAAGGAAAAACGTCCAAAACGTACGAAATACTGAGCATAACTTTTCGTACGATTTCATACGAACTGATAATATAATATAAGGGTGGAGGTTATGATTAATTGAAGATAAGTATATTAATTTTTAGTTCAATGGAGGAAGCAGAGTCAGGGTAAACCGCCCTGGAATGGGCTAAGGGTCAGGGTTAGGGTTAATTGTATGTTAAATTCTATGTTATTGAATGGTGCGTAA